ATGCCACGTAGGAGGCGAGATCATAGTCGCGGAGGGAATCGAACCCCCAAACCTCACATTGATCTGTTTTTTTTTTTTTTTTTTTTAAATTCGATCGGAAAGGTGATGTCCTATTAGTTGTAATGCCACGTAGGAGGTGAGATCATAGTCGCGGAGGGAATCGAACCCCCACCCCTCACATTGGTCTGTTTTTTTTCTTTTGGAAAAATCGATTGAAAAGGTGATGTCCTATCGGCTGTAATGCCACGTAGGATGGGAGATCATACTCGCGGAGGGAATCCAAACCCCACCATTCACATTTATCTGTTTTTTTTTTTTTTTTTTGGAAAAATCGATTGAAATGGTTATGTCTTATTTGTTGTAATGCCACATAGGAGGCGAGATCATAGTCGCGGAGGGAATCGAAACCCCACCCCTCGCATTGATCTGTTTTTTTTTTTTTTTAAATCGGATCGAAAAGGCAAAATGTCCTATTGGTTGTAATGCCACGTAGGAGGAGAAATCATAGTCGCGAACGGAATCGAACGCCCTAACCTCACATTGACCTGTTTTTTTTTTTTTTTTTGAAAATTCGATCGAAAAGGTGATGTCCTATTGGTTGTAATGCCACGTAGGAGGNCCTCACATTGACCTGTTTTTTTTTTTTTTTTTGAAAATTCGATCGAAAAGGTGATGTCCTATTGGTTGTAATGCCACGTAGGAGGCGAGATCATAGTCGCGGAGGGAATCGAACCCCCAAACCTCACATTGATCTGTTCTTTTTTTTTTTTGAAAATCCGATTGAAAAGGTGATGTCCTATTGGTTGTAATGCCATGTAGGAGGCGAGATCATCGTCGCGGAGGGAATCGAACCCCCACCCCTCACACTTGTCTGGGTTTTTTTTTTTGGAAAAATCGATTGAAAAGTTGATGTCCTATTGACTGTAATGCCACGTAGGATGCGAGATCGTACTCGAGGAGGGAATCCAACCCCCACCACTCACATTTTTCTGTTTTTTTTTTTTTTTTTTGAAAAAATAGATTGAAACGGTGATGTCCTATTGGTTGTAATGCCACGTAGGAGGCGAGATCATAGTTGCGGAGCGAATCGAACCCCCACCCCTCACATTGGTCTGTTTTTTTTTTCTTTCGAAAAATCGATTGAAAAGGTGATGTCCTATTGGTTGTAATGCCGCGTCGGATGCGAGATCATACTCGCGGAGGGAATCCAACCCCCACCACTCACACTTATCTTTTTTTTTTTTTTTTTTTGAAAAATCGATTGAAACGGTGATCTCTTATTGGTTGTATAGCCACGTAGGAGGCGAGATCATAGTCGCGGAGTGAATTGAACAACCAACTCTCACATTGATCTGTTTTTTTTTTTTTGAAAATTAGATCGAAGAGTGATGCCCTATTGGTTGTCATGCCACGTAGGAGGCGAGATGATACTCGCGGAGGGGATCGAATCCCCACCCCTCACATATCGAAAGGTTATCTTTTTTTTTTTTTTTTTTTTGGAAAATTGATTGAAAAGGTGATGTCCTATTGGTTGTAATGCCACGTAGGATGCGACATCATAGTCGCGGAGGGAATCGAACCCCCACCCCTCACATTCGTCAGTTTTTTATTTTTTGGAAAAATCGATTTAAAAGGTGATCTCCTCTTGGCTCTAATGCCACGTAGGATGCGAGATCATACTCGCGGAGGGAATCCAACCCCCAACACTCACATTTATCTTTTTTTTTATTTATTTTTTTTGAAAAAATCGATTGAAACTGTGATGTCTTATTTGTTGTAATGCCACGTAGGAGGCGAGATCATAGTCGCGGAGGGAATCGAACCCCCACCCCTTACGCTGGTCTGATTTTTTTTTTGTGGAAAAATCGATTAAAAAGGAGATGTCCTATTGGCTGTAATGCCACGTAGGATGCGAGATCATACTCGCGCGGGGAATCCAACCCCTACCACTCACATTTACCCGTTTTTTGTTTTTTTTTTTCGAAAAATCGATTGAAACGGTGATGTCCTATTGGTTGTAATGCCACGTAGGATGCGAGATCATAGTCGCAGAGGGAATCAAACCCTCACCCCTCACATTGATCTGTTTTTTTTCTTTTGACAAGTCGATCGAAAAGTTGATGCCCTATTGGTTGTCATGCCACGTAGGAGGGGAGATCATACTCGCGGAGGGCATCGAATCCCCACCCCTCACATATCGAATTTTTTTTTTTTTTTTTTTTTTTTTTGGAAAATCAATCGAAAAGGTGATGTCCTATTGGTTGTAATGCCACGTAGCATGCAATATCATAGTCGCGGAGTTGATCGAATCCCCACCCCTCACATTGGTCTGTTTTCTTTTTTTTTGGAAAAATCGATTGAAAAGGTGTTGTCCTATTGGCTGTAATGCCACGTAGGATGCGAGATCATACTCGCGGCGGGAATCCAACCCCCCCCACTCACATTTATCTGTTTTTTTTTTTTTTTAAATCCGATCGAAAAGGTGATGCCCTATTGGTTGTAATACCACGTAGGAGGCGAGATCATAGTCGCGGAGGGAATCGAACCCACACCCCTCACATTGATCTGTTTTTTTTTTTTTGAAAATCCGATCGAAAAAGTAATGTCCTATTGGCTGTCATGCCACGTAGGAGGCGAGATCATAGTCGCGGAGAGAATCGAACCCCCAAGCCTCACATTGATCTTTTTTTTTTTTTTTTTGAAAATTTGATCGAAAAAGTGACGTCCTATTGGTTGTAAAGCCACATAGGAGGTAAGATCATAGTCGCGGAGGGAATCGAACCCACAAACCTCACATTGATTTTTTTATTTTTTTTTTGAAAATCCGATCGAAAAGTTGATGTCCTATTGGTTGTAATGCCACGTAGGAGGGAAGATCATAGTCGCGGAGGGAATCGAACCCCCACCCCTAACATTGGTCTGGTTTTTTTTTTTGAAAAAATCGATTGAAAATATGATGTCCTATCGGCTGTAATGCCGCGTAGGATTCGAGATCATACTCGTGGAGGGAATCCAACCCCCACTACTCACATTTATCTGTTTTTTTTTTTTTTTTGGAATAATCGATTGAAACGGTGATGTCCTATTGGTTGTAATGCCACGTAGGAGGCGAGATCATAGTCGCGGAGGTAATCGATCACCCATCCCTCATATTGATCTTTTTTTTTTTTTTGAAAATTCGACCGAAAAGGTGATGCCCTATTGGTTGTCATGCTACGTAGGAGGTGAGATCATACTCGTGGAGGGGATCGAATCCCCACCCCTCACATATCAAAAGGTTATCTGTTTTTTTTTTTTTTTTTTTGAAAAATCGATCGAAAAGGTGATGTCCTATTGATTGTAATGCCACGTAGGATGCGACATGATAGTCGCGGAGGGAATTGAACCCCGACCCCTCACATTGGTCTTTTTTTTTTTTTGGAAAAATCGATTGAAAAAGTGATGTCCTATTGGTTGTAATGCCACGTAAGATGCGAGATCATACTCGCAGAGAGAATCCAACCCCCATCACTCACATTTATCTGGTTTTTTTTTTTTTTTGGAAAAATCGATTGAAACGGTGATGTCTTATTGATCGTAATGCCACGTAGGAGGCGAGATCATAGTCGTGGTAATAATCGAACCCCTAGCTTTCACATTGATCTGTTTTTTTTTTTTTGAAAATCCGATCGAAAAGGTGATGCCCTATTGGTTGTCATGCCACGTAGGAGGCGAGATCATACTCGCGGAGGGGATCGACTCCCCACCCCTCACATATCGAAAGTTTTTTTTTTTTTTTT